CAACTATAGTTGGAAGCAAGTTGGACAATAAATTGTAAAGGAATTCAATTTCCAAATACAGATGTGCAACTCTCTGTGGTTTGAATCAATAGAAACTGCTGCAGTTAATTTTGGCAATAACAGGAAATAATAAATCTAGTGGACTTTTAGGTAATTAGATTTGATTTGAGCAAATTTCCTTGTGTGCTCTTGTTGTCCATTGGTAGTTGTAATAAGTATTACTTGAATCATCATCGTAACAATGGCATACGAGCTAAAAATATAGAAACAGAAATTTGCATTCAGTTGTTCTCTTTGGTAATAAATTAATGTATGAAAAAGTTTGCTTTCAGATGTAGGAAAATTTGATATAGTCAAGAGTAGAGAAATGCATTAATGCCAATGAATCTGCTTGCCTGAACACACAACTTTTTCTGTCTACTTTTTGATTTAACCTTTAATACTCTGCATTATTCACTACTTTCCTTTCCACTGTATTGTTTTGGAAGGCTCCTCTACTGCATTACTTAATTTCAGCCATGGTCATTTTTTGTTGCCATAGCAGGATATGACAACACAACTTCAAAATTCAAACACACTATTATTCATTAATCTGAGTCACTTGCAGTGGCAGGATAAAATTTTTGCTTTGCAAGCAAAATCATCTCCAGTATGTTAAAGGTTAAATTTCTTATTCTTCAATTAGCATTTTTTTTAATAGTCTTTCACATTGACATTTATTTTGTTGTTAAATTTACTTTTGTTTCTTTTGGGTTTTTTTTTTCTTTTTTCCACTGGATCCTTGCTTGTAATAATGTAGGTTTATCATATCAACCACACTTTGCACATAATTAATTTAGGATTACAATTTGCATCTTACTTTGTAATTTCAAATATAAGGAAAAATCATTGGTTTTAGAAATTGTTTGCATATTCTGAATTTCATAATTTCATTTACTTGACATTTTAATAGACATTGTACATTACTATATGTTATATACTGTAGCTATGAACACTAATAGGTATTTAAGCGGGGTAATATACTGTCTAAGTAGTCCACAACTAGTAATGATTCACCTACTTCATGCTGCTGGCGAGTATTGTATTTTGTTGATGTTATAAAGATTACCATTTCATTTCCAACCTCCATTTTGGTTATTCCTCGTTCAGTAACCTTTTCTAGGTTACAACACTTTAAAAAGTGGAAACACTCCCTGATTTAAGTTTGTCTTTAAGTATCATTTTTAGCATATTATTATTTTGATATACAACTTCCTGGTACCATCTTTTGGATCAAATGAAGGGAAATCTTAGAAGTGTCTTAAAAATTTTTTTTAAATTTTTATTGCTTGTCCAGCCAACTGTTATCTGTTCTGTATAACAAGCCATGGGAAAAATTAAAAAGCTAAGAAAACAATTCCCTACTGAAGATACCGAAAAGGAATATTGGTTAACATTTTGACATCTGTCTTTCTCTTCTTGCATGACACAAAAAAATCTTTTTCAACAAGATCGTTGGTCATTGACAATTGAGAACCTTTATTATAAGAGTGTCAAGAAAATTCTGGTTAGTTCCACAAGTCTTTAACATTATAATCTAAATGGAATGTACTTGGGAGTGGAGATGTTTGAAATTCAAAGGAAACTCTTTATTACAAACTGCTGGAAACTTAATAAACTATTACTGCTGTAGTGTGACAATAAGAAATTGGCTTGTTTGAATGCTACACAGGAAGAAAAAAAACATTTTTCTGTTCATGGAAGTCAGGTGTTGACTGTTCAGCATAATAGCACATTCTTTAGTTGAAAATACAATGCAACAAATGATTTTATTGCTCGTGTAGAAAGTTCAATATGTCTTCTCTCAACCTGTCATCTTCAGACTATAACTTGTCTTATTCATAATTATAACACATGCAAGATATGAAAGTAGAATTCATCAAAGTAATTTATTAAGCCAAAATTGGATTTTTTTCCTTTTTTAATGAAAAGGATAATTTACTAAAGAAGTAGCCTAAAGAAACAGAAGCCAAGAGAAAGTGCTTTGCCTCACTGAATAATGAGGCTATAAATTTCACTTAATATTTTTAATGACACAGATGTTGAAAACTTCTTGTCTCATAGTAAAAATCAAAGTATTGTCTCTGTGTCCCTCTAAAAATAGATACGTTAATTTTTTTTTCTTGAAATCTTACAAATTTTCTATCAGTTTACTTATAAAATCTGTAACACAAAACACATTTTGATTTTATATATTTATGGGCCATGCAGCCTGAGATCATGAAAATAAATTCTCATGGAGAATAAATGCTATATTCCGAGTTTCAAAATAAGTAAAAAATATTAATCCAGTTGCTTCCAAAACTGTCTATATTACTGAGATGAAGTATTGTAATTATGTACATTGCTCGAATGTTGTCCTAGTCTTTACTGCCACATTCACATTTCAGCCATTTCTTCAAGTAATTGGAATTTTGATAGAGAACATAACTGGAAAATATGAAAACCTAAGGAATCAGTACATATGCTAGGCCACAAAAATCTCCTGAGCCAACCAAGCATAGAAATGAATACAATATAGGAACCAGTAATATGGAGTGCTAGAGATAAGCAATAATAACAACAGAAATTGCAGTAAAATAGATACTGAGACATTAAGTTTATAAGTCCAAAAAATTCATATATCTGCATATAACTATTGAACTGAATGCAGGTTACTAAAAATTAATTTTTAATCTAAAATTTACTCATCCATTTTTTTTCTATATATAAGAATGTGGGTATTATTTAATATTTCCTAGCTAAGTTTGTGATATGTTTTATAATTATTTCCAACACTTTAGTTTTCAGAAATTCCATCAATGAAAGAAATGAATGCAAATCTTTCTGCAACCAATCATTTCTTGTGGGATGCAAACTTGGTTAGCAGAATGCCACTTGCAAGGCTTGAAATTAATGTAATTCCAGGGATAATAAAATATTAGTTTCATGTGACTGGTTTGTTTTTAGAAGATGATGCTAGATTAAATAATTTTTTTTTTTTAGTATCTGTCTATATTTCTGAGATATGGTATTATGTAAACTATTTACATTATTCGAACTATTGCCCTCATCTTTATCACCATATTTATTACAACATTTCGGCTGTTGTACGCTTTCTTCAGGTGGTTGGAATGTCAAACTGAACCCTTTATTTCGCTCACTGGGGTAGACTGTTCTAGTTCCACGTGCCATGTTTAACGGAGGTCAGTTATCAGTTATCTCCTGTTAATTCTCCTCTCCAGGTTCTCCACTGCCTTAACCAGGTATTGAACTCACACTCTTTGGGTCCTGACACTGGATCTAACTAATGCCTTTATTCACTGTGCCATGTGTTTCTTTTTTTAATTATTAATTAAAATTACATTATTCTAAAAGCAACATTTCTTAAAAAAAAAATAGAAATCTTACTTCTGGGTGGCAGCCTTTTAAATAAATGGCATACACAAAATTTAAGCACTTCTTTTTAAACTGCTGGGCAAAACCCAAATGACTTAAATTTAGATATTTGTATTATTTATCTCTAAATGTAAAAACCATTTGGAACTAATTGCAAAAACTAATTTTGTTTTAATAAACAAAACATATTTTTTATGTTAATCTTTGGTTAAAATCCTTGAATAACTCATTCACATTTATGTGTTGTTTTCTGCTTATGATAAAATAAATTGAAAATACAAAGGAGAATTTAAAAGTGTAATAAACACAAAATTTAGTCATGACATTAGCCGGGTAATTGTAAGTGAAAATATTTTGATAAAACTTTAATGAGATAAAAGAAATTTTAATGAAATATATATTTTGAAAACAATTTGATAAAACTTAGAATGTACTAATATTCTTGAAAGAAAATGAATGCTTAGAGCACAATTTTTTAAAAGTATGATAAAAGTTATCCTGAACATTAAAATAGATTTCTCATGTAATCTTTAGTCCTAGTTACAAAGAAAAAGTAAATAGATTTCACTACCAAATATTAATTGAAAATTACCTTAAAACCTTTGTCAGATATTATGGCTTAATAAAATGAACTTAAATGTTAGAATGTATTTATTTACTCTTACAGCTAAATGGTATAGACACTGCTTGAAGAGACTAATCCACTCATAAAAATTAGGGAAAGAATTGGCATCCTTTGAATCTTCCTCAGGCCACAACATTTGTCAAAATTGAAAAATATTGATTTGGTATTGTTTTATCGGGAGGCGTGGTACTGTTTCAGTTTATAATATCTAAAATGTCAAATCGATCCTTGACTTTGAAGAGTTATTGGCCTTAGGCTAAATCGGCTGTTATTTACAAATATAAAGTTTGAAAATGTACTTAAGCTTAACATCATTGATATCTGCATACAGTTTTAAATTTCTTTAACCATTTTTAAAATTTTTTAAAAAACATTTTTATTAGATGGTTTTGGAAGCACAAGTATTTGACGTTCATAATTATTTATCTTAAATGGATACATAATTTTATTGACTTATGTAAACTTTTGTTCTTTACTTAAAAATCTGTGCATGCGTAGTTATTTCAGAGACATTTTTCTGTACCCCCCACCCCCGCAAAAAAATTTGTTTTCTTGTATGCAAAACAGATAAGGCCAATAACAATTTAAAAGTCAGTGATTGTATTGACTGTAGTGATATTAGAAACAGCCACACCCTCATTCTAAATCAATAACAAAGCAATATTTTTTTATTCTGACAAGAATACTAATCAATAAAAAAATATATATATTTTCTCTATTTTTTACCAGTGGACCAGTCTATTCAAGTAGTGCCATAGCATAAGTACTCTACACTTTGAATTTTTTTTTTTTTTTGAGTGGAGGAGTTTAAAAATTCTTTCATTTAAGTGTAATGTATATTTTTCTGGGTTATGAAGAGTGATGTCTATTTTTACTCTGTGCATATAGTGAATTTTGCTTGAATTTTGCTTGTTGAAAATAAATTATTCTAACCATCATAATCTTTCTTTTCTTTCAGTTCAGACTGGCTGTGTACATTGCGAACCGCTACCTCAGCTCTGATGATCATAAATTTGTGAACCTGGTGAGCCAGGAGCTCACCAGATATGCTGACCAAGCTGCAGTGGACAGGTAAATTTAGAAATTTTTAAAAGGATCAGTCTTTAATATCTCTGTCTATATTTCTGAGATGAAGTATTGTAATTATTTACATTGTTTTGGACTGTTTATAAGTCCCCAAAATTCATACACTGATATCCTTAAGGATACATGGCCCAGTGAATAAAAGTGTTGGTTGGATCCAGTGACTTGACTCAGAGTTGTGGTGAACAAAAACTTGGAGTGATAAGTTAAAGAGAGATAACTGGGACACTCGGAAGAGTCATAGCACATGGAACTAGAATGGTCTACCCAATGAACAAAAGAAAGGTTTCAGTTCAAAATTCCAATCACCTGAAGAAGGCCAGAGCATACAATATGACAAAAAAGATGAGGACAATAATCCAAACAATGTAAATAATGGCAACAAATATGAGTGATTTTGTCATAAACAACCTTAAAGAATGACAATAATATTTCTGGTCAATAGAAATCATTAAAACTCTTTTGCTTAATTCACAATCTAATGTACAATACAGAACAGGTAAATTTGTATTTATTCAGATGCAAATAAAAACCTTCAAGATAAACAGGCAAATAAAAACCTTCACAATAAACATACCGTTTGGGTTATTAATTATTTTGTTAGAATCTTATTTTAATTGCTAAACTTGCATCTTTATTCTATAGCTGTTAAGTAAAATTGATTGAGAATAAAGAATTCTTTATTTTCAATCCACACAATTAAGTCATAGAATAAAAATCTAGAAGCTGTGATAAAAAGTTTTTTGGGTGATTTAATGAATTTATGGTTTATGCAATGAAAATATGTAAACATTTGCCATTACATACAGTGAATTTATTTGATGATGCATTCACAATCAATGAAAATATAAGTGAATTATCAAATATCTTGATTAAATTAAAGAGCATTACCAAGAAAAATCAAAGGACAACTTTGAATTCAAAGCCATTGAATGTGGGGCTCCTAACTCCACCTTGTAAAATCTACTTTCTATTGAAACTACAGTACCTGTTGTGGTTTAGCTGTGGCCCTCTCGTTCACAGGAGGTCTACATTTTCAAGAAAGAAGTTAATTAGCAAGTAGAGTAAAGGATTTTGAAATTAGGTACCCTACATTTTTATATAGTTAAACATCATCTTTAGGCAAGTTGTATAACTTGTTAACCTCTTTCCGATATACCAGGAGGTTATAATCATACAAAACTCTGAATGTAGTGTTAAAGACTAAAAATCTGTTTGAAAACTTGTTTAGCGTAACATGACGTATGTATCTTCTTAACCTTCTCTTATTATTATGAGGTATTTGAACAACTCATAAAATTTTTTTTTTTCTTAATATTTAGCAAGTAGCAAGTCAAAATTTCATGAGGAGTCAGGTAACTTTTTGAATCCTTCTGTCAAGGAGTTTCTGGTTTAAGTCATAATATTTGTGTGAATTTCAAGCATGTGACTGTAAAGACTGTGTAATAATTGTTGTTGATGCAAAGATCATAGTAACGTTCTTATTCAGTGCTTGTAAAAAAAAAAAAAAAAAACATTTGAAGAGGAGCTGGATTGATCATAAATTGTTCTAAAAGATTATACTGAAAATAAAATGAAACCATATTTTAACACTTGAAACTTAGGTTCCTTTTTTTTAATATTAGCCCTTTTAATATGATTTTTCAGAATAATATTTTTTTTGTGCTATAAAAACCAGAATATTCAAGACATATATATCAAGAAAATTAAGCACTAAATTATACATCCGTACTATTTTAAATGGAATGTTTGGAAACCTCATGGTACTAACACTGTAACAATGCCCCATAGTATTAACAGAGAATTAAAAAATCACACGTTAAAAACCAGAACATGATGTGGCCATTTTCAATTTTGTTGATATTGTTTTGTGAAAAATAGATTTACCCATATAGTTATTTATAAATGTTTAACTTATACAGACTATAGACCATTTACAATAATTCTTAGCTACATATTTATCTGGAGTATTTCTGCAACCAAGTAAAATCTTCATAAATCATCTATGTCTTGTAATTACTCTTGTGTAGTTTTATTACAGGTAACAGATGAAAAACAAGTTTACCTGTTGTTAGATCTTTTGATTGCTGCACATTAAGTTAAACAAATGAATGAAGAAATTATTTTGCACAATAATATTATACAAGGATTTACAAGCCTTACAGATTTCCCTCCCTGTTGTACAATAACATCCTATGTATAATTTTTTTTTTTCTTTATATTATAGTGTGTTACTCTTCCCACCACTTGACTCCTACCATCGCCTATTGATCCACAAGACTGTAGAATCTGACTTTAAACAATTGCATAGCTTCTCTGTTGGATCCGAAAAGCAACGCAGAACTGTTGTTTGTCTCCAAAATACCATGCTTCAGTATGTATCATTGCTATGTATATTTTTTTTTAATCTGCTAATAAAAATCATGATTACTTCTGTTTTAAACCTTAATACAACTATAGAGATTTTTTTCCCCCTTTTTGTAAGTTTTTAGTTTTGTTAAAAACTTACTTAGACTAAGTACTCCATGAAAATGCTAAAAAATCAGCCTACCATGATGAAAAACATGCTCCAAACATAAAGAAACCACAGTTTTATCATCGAAATTGTTGTGTTATTATTAAGAGGAAGGTTCAAAGTTGTTGTTTTTTACTCCTTTTTTAGAACATTTGAAATTTTGATTAAAAAAAAAAACTTATTTTTCTTTTGTCAGCGGTCCATACTAACTTTTAGCATTGCAAATTTTAGCCTCTTTTTTTGCAGTGATAGATACATTATTTTGGAAATTCTTGCAAATAGTTCTTAGGAAATATTGTTATTAAGTAAAACTATATTTACTAATCATATATTGCAAAGCTTATTACAATCTAACGACCCTGAATATTTTTAAAAGAATTTCAATTTGTTTTTATATGTGTGATTACTTGCAGAATTTCTGAAGTATGGCTGTACAAACAGATAAATCTATCATTAAATGTGTTTTAAGGGTTGTCCCTCATGTATGGGAAAAATAAAAAACTCAATTTTTATCATCTACTCCACCATACATAACTATGAATACATTCAGCTGTCAATCGGATGTCAATAAATCAATTAACACATTAGAAAAACAAGACTCCATCGTTAAGAAATGTTTATATATAACGTTTTATGCTATAAGTAAATAATATTTGTTTCAACTCAGATTAATTTAACTTTAAATTTGCTAATTTTCCTCAAATAACATTTCAGAAATACAAGATTTTTAAAACTGAGAATTAAATTTTCTTTACAAATCTGTCAAAAATGGCTGTTTTGATTGATTTTACTAAAAGAAAAAATTGATTCCATTCAATATAATTTCTGTTTGAAATACACGAGTATTTCGCTTACTGGAAATAGTAAATTTTAAATTCTTTAGCTTTCAATGAAATCTTCAAGAAAGCTTTTTTATTTTTAAAAATTCATTTTAAAACTTACATATACTAAATTAGTGACGGTACCTACTATTATTACATTTGTGTTCTGAGCTTACAATGTCAGTTTTCAAATAGTCTGTTTTATACATTCATGTCATAAATCAATAAAATTTTGTTCAAAAAATATAAAAAAGGCATTAATTTGTTTTAGTTCTTGAAAAAGGTCATTCCCCCCCCCCCGTCCAAAAATTTGATTTTATGCAAAAGGTAAAAAATTTTATTTCTCAATTTGCTAATGATGTAATTGGATAGGACTTACATATTTTTAATGCATTTAACAGTTTCTAGCTATAACATAACCTACAAAGTTACAAATAAACAAAAACAAATTCTAGAAGTTTCCAGAAAGTCATAGTACTACTACACTTGTATACATTTTTAGAAATTTAGTATTGGGGTGACATTTTTATTTTTTTTTAAATAAACTGAATTAAACCCTTCTTTATTATTTTTGAACTAAAGTTCATCAAATTATGATGCAAAAATAAATTTACAAAAAGTCACAACCCTTATATATATATATATATATATACACACACAGGGTATGATGGGTAAAATGTTGTTATTTTATATTTTTAATTTCACACATGCACATTGTTTTTGATTTAGTCAATTGCACAATATAGTAGGGTCAGTTGGGCACCATCTGTAAGAAAAAGAGCACCATGATGCAATTAACTTCACAAGAAATTTGGAAACAGCATGCTGTACTGCTTGGCATTCATTCTAGAAGCTCCAATACAAACATTTCAGAATGTTTGGGTGTCAATCTGAGGACAGTGGAAAGGATTTGAAAAGAGTTGAATGAATCTAATGGTGATTATGAAGGTATGGCAGCTTGGAAAACTAACTTTGATCATTCTGATAAGAAAAAAACTCCCAAATTTGTTGGTGAGGGCCTCAAACTCAACATGAAGGCCTACATCAAGTACCTTGAGGAGGTAGTGCAGCCCTGGGTCAAGCGAGTGGCTGCTGGAAGACCCTATATCTGGTAACAGGACTCTGCACCATGCCACACAAGCAGGTGAACCCAGTGATGGCTGTCAGACAATTTCTGGGAACACATCACCCCTTATATCTGGCCACCTAATTCCCCAGACTGCAAACCCCTTGATTATTATGTGCGAGAGACCAACAAAACTCCTTGTAACACCAAAGATGAACTGAAGGCAAGGATTATAGCAGCCTTCACCAGGAGATTCTGAAGTCATCTGGAGGCCATGGTTGAAGCCAGCGGTGATTTTATTGAATAAATTTAATTTTAGTATTTCAAGATATTTTTGTGTAATTTTGGTAAATATACCTATTAAAATGAGATATCAATGTTATTTTCATTTTTGCATAATTTAGACGACAATTTATCCATCACACCCTGTATACCATGGAATAACAGTGTCTGTAGATAATTTTCATTTGAATTGCTCAGTCACATCTTGAAGTTGATATTTTTAAATATTTCATCAATGATGGCAACTTTTGAAATTAAATATTCTTTTAAATGTAATTCATATTTAATAGGAGTAGATAGGTTCACACTCCTCCCCACTCTTTTGAACAGGGGTAGCAGTTTATCCCTTGTTTAATGTTTAATATTCAGTTTCCTGTTCCTTCTAAAGTCTTTGCATTCTCTTTTACTCTCAGTAGTCCTTTGTATCATAGTTGAATTATCACTTTGCTTGGGGGGGGGTGTAGAATTGAGTAAAAACAAAAAAAATGTTAAATTTTATTTTTATTTTTTTATTTTTTTTTAACGAAATAATTTAATTAGTTGAAACATTAAATTCTATATTTCCTATTAAATTTTTTTTACTCTGTCTTTTTCTGATAGAAAAAAATCAATATAGACAAAAAATAATTAATAATAAAAAATATAACAAAAGCAAAAATTTCTTTTCCTTCAATATTAATCATTCCCACTTATTAATTCCCACACTGATAGGTAGTTGTTGGTGTGGTGGGTGACAAACAAGTCCTTTTATATCAAAATATAGTGTAGTGTTCTTTACTTTTAAGTCACCATGACTATCCCATTCTATATGCAAATGTAACTCAACATCCTGTTTTCTTTGCTGCAGTAATGGTCTCAGCCAACCAATGTCCAGTTCAGGCAGTAGGCCATGTCGTGGCCGTGGTCGTGGCAAGTGGTTAGACTATCAAAATTCCCCTCCAGTCATTCCTTCTCCACAAATTATAAAGGATGATGAGACTAAAAGTCATCATGATATCATTACATCAGCTGCTCTGCAAGGAACAAGGTAAGTCAGTCAATGACATAGGCTAAGGCTACATGCAGTATCTGTTTATATATTTAATTGACAAACAAACAAAAAACTGCTTATTTATATTCTTGATAAGATTTTGTATATTGAATAGGTCTCATGTTTTATATCAACTCTGATGAGAAATCTGAGTTCAAATTCCACCTAGGTTTGTTACATTCACATATATGCAAATAACTTTAGGAAAGGTATGAATCCATCTTATCTCCCACAGGCTATGGGTTAAATAGTAGGACTTGTCTGCAAAAATCATTGATTATTCTCAAAAGTTCTTAATGCAATATTCACTAATAAAAAGAAAAAAAAAGATATTCTTACAATCCAAAATATGTTTTGGCTTTAAATAACCCACAAAAGGTTGACAAACTGAGAAAAAGAACAAAACAAATCTATCATGTTTTATGTCTATTTCTCGGTGAGAAAACTTTTCTTTTACTAGTATATAAATTATACTATCTTTTATGTTTGAAATTAAAAGCTACTCCTTTCAGAAAATTCATTGAGTATTTTTTTTAATTCTTTAGAAAAATTTTTAAAAAATAAATATTCTAAGGAATTAAAAAATTCCTTGGATTTTTAAAAAAAAATTTTATCTACAATTATTAATACCTTAAAAACTGCTTTAGTATTATCTTATATAGTAGAATAGTAATCTGTAGCTATAGTAATTTATTAGCATTTAGCATAATGACTTCCTAAAAGTGAAACTGCATTTGTGCCAGAATAGAAACAATTTTCACTAAAGGAATTTTAAAACTTATTTTTTAAAAAAATTAAATTTTTATCAGTTTTTATTAAAAAAATGTTTTTTTTTTGTTTTTTTTTAATTAGCTGAATGTAATGTCAATAATTTAAGTGCCAAAATTTTTTAAGTATTTTTTTGCCAACAGTATTTTCATTTGTGTTTTTTATATATACTAACAATAAAAGTATATCTAAGCTGGTAGTACACTGTATAGTGGTTTAAAGAGCAGGCATTTTTTTGCTTGACTTGTCTCATTCCCTGAGAATGACAAGAATTTATATCAGATATTGCTTAACAATTTGGTTGTTTAAAAACACAAAATTAAAATAAATATTTAATCTGTGAACTCCTAAATGTTAATTTTTAACATTGCCTGATTTAATGTTTTTAAGCAAAAATATTAAAAAAAAAATCTGAGTAATGCAGGCAGACCAAATCACTTGAAGAGTTTGTTAGTTAAAATGCTAAATTTAAAATTAAAATAGAACTGCTTGTTTTTCTTATTTTTTTTCTCTCAATTGTAGTCTAAATTTCTGAAATTATTTTATTATTCTGTCCCAATCTTTCCTTTCCTGATCACAACCTTTCAAATATGATTGCATCCCATATTTGTAATGATGACAAAGTTATAAAGACAACATTAATGTGAAATATATGCTCTATTTTATGAACTGTTAAATTTTTTTTTATATGAAACTGACTGCACAATATTCAGGATGCACCAAGTTTTCAGTCTAGTTAATTTTGGGCAAACAAATTGGCCACTTAATTAAATTAATGTCTTTGTGACTCATTTTATTCAGATCTTTATTAGTTTCCAGCATTGAACATGATTGAGCATTGTCCTGAATAAATATCTTCTTTCTAAAACATTTATATTCTTCTTGAACTGTTGCTCCACACATGCCTTCAAAATATCAATGTATGTCTCAGCTGTTGAAACCTGAAATTGTCTATGGACCCGCCACTTTACCTAACATCTCACCACCTCCACCTTGTTGATGTCTCAGTCAGGAAGTGTGGTTTTCATTTCCAGCTTTTGCTCTATCCATCTTGTCCATCAAACGTAGCACAGTATCTGTTGGTGAAAACCAAAATTGAAGACTTGGTCTTCATATATTGTTACACATTTTATTCAATTTTCCTAATAGATATCTTTTAAATGTGGCTTAGTGCCCAGTCTCATGTCTTACTGCTTAATTTACTTAATTTAAGAACCAACATCTTGAACTTTCTGACACTTAATCACTGTCACAACACCAAAACATTTCCTAGCTTCTCAAGGACAGACTTTTATAACTTTTCTTTTGACATGGAACACAAATCAACAAAATTAATTACTTGTCAGACCTGAATTGGAAGCATCCAGGGCTTTCAACAAACTTCTTCACAGTTCAATTATACCAGACAATCAATTTTGTAATTTTCAGCATTCTCTTATTGGTTAAATAGTAGGACTTTTTGTCTAAAGCTCTAAAGTTATTAAATAATTCTCTCTCAAAACAAATTTACAATTCATATTGAAGCTTCATATTCACAATGTAGTAATTAATTTCAGACACTGGAATCTATAATATTTCATACAGATAGTTGTCATTCATCTATATTGACAGAACAAACCACTTTCATCCTAACTGACCAGTCAGCAAATCACTGTAAATAAACATTTATAATATAAGTATTTTTATATATTAATAAAACATGAAGTGGCTAACAATCAGGTACAGTGAGTGCCATTTATTGTCTATGTAACTTCATTTTTTTTTTTTTAATTCTTGAAGTAGTACACAGAAATTTGGAAAATATTTACATGATCCATGTAAAAAGTACACTTTGAATTTATTTAACATAAAAGATTAAATATAATGCATATTACTCTGAGAGACTAACATGAAACAAAATACTGAAAGTGAAATATAAATATTTATATATTCTATATTAGTTTCATTTTTTATGAATTGACATAAGGCTAAATTTTGTCTATTCATACCCAACATTGTAGCAGAGGCACAAAACAGCCTGCATTGTTAATATGTAATGAGGGTTAACCAACCTTATATATATATTATATAATATATAAATTTAGACAATATAAAAATAAGAGATGAAGGTAAACAAAAATTATGTAACTGTAGAAATCCTCATAACTGTCCTCTACAAAATAAATAATCATTAGTATACCAATACAATATCTCATCTATTGAGAATCCTGAAAACATAAAAATCTATATAGGTTGCACAAGCCATGAGTTCAAAACATCCAACTTCATTTAAGATAAATAAATACCGAAATCAGACATCCCTATCGAAATATTTCTGGCACTTAAAAGAAACCAATAAAACACCTACAGTAAAATGGAAATTAATAAGAAAATCTAGAATATGTAGGTCATTAAATGACCCATGTATTTTGTGCATACATGAGAAATTATATATTACTAAGTTTATAAAAAATAAAAATTTACTGAATCAAAGAAATGAAATAGCTATTCTTTGCTGACATTGTCAAAAATTTTCCTTAAATAATATTTAAAAGTAAAATAAAAAATGGGAGCTTGTAATATACATACTTATATTTGATATGTAAGAATAATTTTTAAATAATTTAAGTAATTGTATTACATTTATTTGATTTTTAAAAAAATATAGTCTATTAGCAATTATGAGTAAAAATAATATTTTATAATTTTAGTTCAATATAACCTGTTCTAATCCAAACACCCTTTTTAGAAAGAATCTTTAAGTAAGTACAAATTTAATGGAAAAAAATGCCAAAAAACTTTTTGTTGTTGATAAAAAAACCCAGATGACATGCGTTGAACGGATGTCAAAATTCATTGAAAAAATGCACCCCCCTACCATCCCTAGACTTAACCTCTTTTTCAAACGTAACTCATAATTGATACAATAATATTTAATAAAAATGAACATGCTACCACCCCTGTCTAAATGATTGGATTTCTCTGTATCCTTGGAAACAAAAAAATTATGATTTGTATGTGCGTTTAAAACTCAGTAAATTTAAAAATAAGTTATTCCAAAATTCGCTTGAAGATGAAACAGAACTAATACTTTTAATTTAATTATATAATTAAATTTGAAGTGTTTAGCTTTGGTTTTTGAAACATGGTAATTCCTGTGTAGCGAAGAAACCATATTTTAAATCTGTTGATTTATAATATTTATGCTCTGTAAATTTACATTGAGCACTGTTTTGTAAAAATAAAAATATCAATAAGCACACCGGATTATATATCATACTGTTCTTTCTTTTTTTTTATATATATATATATATATATATATATATATATATATATATATATATATATATGGCGTCACACTATGAAATGGATGAAGTCCGGCAATTATTTTAATATATTTTATTGTTATACATTATTTATATAGACACTAATATTTAGGTAAATGCTCTGTATTTAATAAACAGTATTAACATTTACCAGCCTGAACATCTGAGAAATTTTCATAGAAAATATGCAGAACCATCATATAGCCTGACATGCTATACCAGTTTAGCTACAGATGAGCGTCTGGTAGCAAGGTCGTGTGTGTGTGTGTGTGTACTTTTAATTTTTAAATAAGGTACAGTATCTTATCATTTTTTCTTTGCCCAGTTAATATTTATTGGATTTGTAAGGATGTTACTGCTAACACAAGTACTGCAAAGAATTTGATAAACTCCAATGTTTGAGAGATTTGACATTAGCTCTTTTCTGATTTTCACTTTTTGTTTTTTTTTGTTTTTGTTTTTTTCCCCAGGGGTAAAGCAAGAAAGCCCGAACAGCAACTTTACATCCCACGTCCCCGACGACTGCAGCAGCAGCAACAACAACAGTATCCCTTGGACAATGATGAATATATATCTCCATACACTCTGGGGGAGAACAACGATGAAAGAGGAGTAACCCCAACAAGCCCAGATGACTTGTATCCTCATCCATTCAGCACCAATCCTAACAACAACAATGTCAACACCCCTCAGCAGACAGGTCGGAAAAACACACCTCGAGCTACTTGTACAGCCAGGAAAACACGGCGAGAAGTAGAGATTTATATTCCCCGAGCTAAACGCTTGATGCAGCAAGGTGGGGCACCTATAGATATAGATGGTTTGGCTGAAGCTGGTTCATTAATTAACTGCCGTGAACCTGCATCTCCTCTGGATCGACTATCTGGAGAATATTCTGCTGACTGGACTGTAGGGGGTTGCCAAGATGCTAGTATTGAGGGGAACAGGCAAGGAGGGAAGGTTGGGTTACAATGTCTAAATGTTAGGAATTCTCGCCAAAGTACAACCCACAGGTCACCCGATGGTGGTAGGAGAGGCAGGCGGTCAAAACAGTGGGAATATCAATCACCATCTTCATCAGATGACTCTGGAAGCTCTGAACGGAAAGTGACACTAGCACCAGCACCTCAAACAGAAGAAAGAAATCGCAATAGGCCATGTGGGCGCAAAAACAGGAATGCCCCCCAACCAAATGTAGCTGGAGATAGTGTGGGGACATATGCTCCTGACAATGTTAACAAGAATGCATATGTTATACCATGGTGTTCCGAAGAAACCAGTGCCAATGCTAGTGTTCAACGATGTACAAATGAAAGACAACCAAACGAATCTGTGGCACGAGGTACAAGTCACAAATCCACACTTGTCAACGAATCAACCAAAGTCTGTGATAAGACAAATGTTGCCGTTAGCAACCCAACAAGGCAACAACGTCGTTCCCCTATAAGCAGCTGTGACCCAAACAAGCTTCCTTGTGAATCGAAATCTGGAGTAAATAATGCCAAATCTCAGTCAAGTTCACCCCATCGACCAGCAGACCAAGACAGCAAACAGGGCATCCCTTCTATTTCATCAGAGGCTACACCTTCACCTTCATCCCTGGACAATCAGCAGAGCACGGCTGATCCACAGTGTACTGCCATTCCAGTGGACATTCCGAAAGAAGAGACTGACCACTATGATAGTCTCTCTTCTAAATCACCAGTATACACCTCAGCCAGCTGCAAACGTTCTCCTGGCACTGGTTGCAAGGAGGCAGATAATATCGCAGCTAGCAAGGACAGTGATGATCACTGTTCAGTTAAAAATCTGCTGAACAAATCTAAAGAGACATTAAGCAATACAGATCTGGACTCTTCAATTGATGATGTCATAAATGAAGATACTGGAACAATGGTAAAGGCAGCTAAAAAATCCTCTTCTGTACAGGACCTGACCCCTCTATCTCAGAATGGTTCTCAGCCTCCATGTGCAGTAGATGGAGAGGATGAAGGTGCAGACTCTTGGGATGCTTTGTATGATGAAAATGGAGACTGCTTAGACCCAGCAGTCATGGAAGAGGTAAGTGTTTTGTAGTAATTTCGCAGTTCTAATTAAATGTTTTCCAATAATCATTCAGTTTCTAGTGACCAGTGCTAAAACAATAGTAGCAGTATTGTTATTGGTGATACTTTTATTCTGGTGGCATTTAGCTTGGACAGGCACAAATTTTATGAAGACCTGTACAAAAACTTGATTTAATTTTAATATGGATTCTTTAAAAACTGATAATGATAAATGGTAATAGACTCAAAAATATGATGGAACTAAATTTTGTTTGATTCGTTTTCTATGGCTTATCAACTCAAGTTATTTAAAGCTAGAAAATAAGAATTTTTTTTTTTTTTTTTTTTAGAAATTAATTATTTAGTGGTACAAGTCCTACTAATTAACCCATAGCTGGGGGGAGAAGAGGTGAATTCAAACCTTTCCCAAGGGTATTTGCATGTAAATGACTATAACGAAGCCAACAGGGATTGAAACTCTGCTCTCCGATTAACAATTCCAAGCTATTTTCCACCAACACATCTAAGCTTACAGATCCTGGTATTCCCAAGTAGTCACCCATCTAGGTACTGACCAGGCTTAGTGTTTCTTAAATTTGGTGATCATATGAGAACTGGTGTTTCAACATCATGTGGCTGTAAGCCTTAAATTTTAAGTATTATAATTTATAGAATATATGTCAATATTGAAATATTCTGGATCTGTGTGTCTTTCTGTTTACAAATTTGGGTTAGTCGAATAGGACAAGTATGTCCATAGAATCTTCATGAAGATTGATTTAGGGACAGTCGGAAAGAGGCATCCAATTCTTTTACTTTTCATTGCCATTAGCTTCGGTCACTATACAATTGCTACTGGTATGATATAAACTAGCACTACCTGCCACATAATTGAGTCATTGGCAACTAAATGTTCTCCCACTGGACTTTTTTGGTGTGGAGAGTGGCTAGACAGTTGCCCCCAGTGGATTTAATGGCCATGTGTTCATGATGAAGGTGAGCCTTAAATTTGGAGGACATCAGGTGTGGTTTGACCTGGATGAAGAATGATCTCCTTGCCCAAGAAGACTTGATATACAGTAATGAATACCTCTCTGGCTTTCACCCCAGATATTTGGAGAAAACCGGTCAGGTGCTCAGCTGCACAGCAACCATATGAACACACCTGGTCATGTGATTTATGATGTCTATCATATCATTATGCCAAACTCGATAAGTGCCAAGTAAATATGACTTATACGTTTATTTACCTGTTGGTCTCTGAGGTGAATTCTAAGTAATAATTTGTTACTGGAACTCGACTTAAAAACAAATTTTAACAAAAGTTGTGTGGTTTTTAGTTTTATTCTTTTTAATTTCAATGCTTTTTTTCACTTTGTATTAGAAATTAATGAACAAAAAATATTCATTATGCCTGGCATATGTTAAATTATTTAAGTACATCAATAAGTCTATAGCCTAATAATAAAAAGGTATTTATTTTAATTATGTTATGCTATTTCTGGCTGTGGGCAGATTGTTGCAAGCTTGTGTGTTTTATTTCTTCCCAACTATTTTGATCCAATGCAAGTTTATTTATATGGGACTAGCAATTAGACTTTGACCAATTGAACATGCTGCCTTTCCATCTGAATTTCAGTCTGTCTCTTTTTAGTTGGCCAGGAATATATCCCACAGGACATAATTTTGAAAGTCCTACTTTGATTGTTTAATATGTCCAATAAGTTTAAATTCTTTGCTCTTAATTCTATCAAACAAGTAGTAAGTGTCATCATATTTTGTAGTGTTAGAGCCAAGACTTTTTCATTCAGAATACTAACATTTGCCTGTGACAGCCAGTGTGGCCCCTGTTTATTGCTATCACATTGCTCCATGGCTACCAATATGCCCTCTTGATCTAGGGGTTGTCTTTCTGGTCAGTACTTCCTTCAAGAAAGAATTTCAGTCATTGTGAGTTTTTTGGGGTTTTTTGTAGCGGGGAGTATGTCATTTTGAATGGCCTGGCTGTTGGGAGATGGGTGTTTTTCTAAAGTCATCAACAGTGCTAAAAATGTTTTGTCTATTAGGTGAGAGATGCCACAACATACAGCAACTTGCTATTTTCATCTCTGTGCAATTTTATTTTACACAAAAATATGTTTATCTGCTTAAAAAAAGTTCCCAGCCAGACCAAGAAATGATTTTAAAAAAATAAACTAAACAAAAACAGCATGGAGTGGGTTGGATCAGGAACTTTTCAGTACTCCCCACCCTCAAATACAGTGTGAAAATTCCAGATCAAAATTCCACTGATAACTGTTAGACTACAGACTTATTGATCTACCTGCATTTTATGACTTGAACTAATTAAAAAATAAAACTTAACATAAATTAAAGCTTTATATTAGGTGTGCACAATTAAAAAAAATATGAAGGCCACATTGACTACAGAAAATTAGCTGTGGACTGCAAGAGTAAATTTTTAGAGTTTTAGAATAACCAAGTGAAAAAAAGGTAAAATTGCTCTAATGCATCACATAGGTGTTTTTTGTTTTTTTTTTAATCAAAACCAAAGATTGTGCATCATTTTTTGATAATGTTTAAACAGGTATCGATTCCCTCTCTCTTTCTCTTTGTCCTTTCCACTCTCTCTTTCTCTCTGTTCTTTCCACTCTCTCTCTTTCTCTCTGTTCTTTCCACTCTCTCTCTTTCTCTCTGTTCTTTCCACTCTCTCTCTTTCTCTCTGTTCTTTCCACTCTCTCTCTCTCTCTTTCTCTCTGTTTCCTTTCCACTCTCTTTCTCTGTTTCCTTTCCACTCTCTCTTTCTCTCTGTTCTTTCCACTCTCTCTCTTTCTCTCTGTTTCCTTTCCACTCTCTCTCTCTCTGTTTCCTTTCCACTCTCTCTCTCTCTGTTTCCTTTCCACTCTCTCTCTCTCTGTTTCCTTTCCACTCTCTCTCTCTCTGTCTCCTTTCCTCTCTCTCTCCTTTCTCTCTCTGTCCTTTCCACTCTCTCTGTCCTTTCCTCTCTCTCTCTGTCTTTCCCTTTCCCTCTCTCTGTCCTTTCCTCTGTTCTCTCTCTTTCTCTCTGTCCTTTCCACTCTCTCTCTTTCTCTCTGTCCTTTCCACTCTCTCTCTTTCTCTCTGTCCTTTCCACTCTCTCTCTTTCTCTCTGTGTCCTTTCCACTCTCTCTCTCTCTGTGTCCTTTCCACTCTCTCTCTCTCTCTGTGTCCTTCCCTCTCTCTCTCTCTGTGTCCTTTCCTCCTCTCTCTCCTCTTTTCTCTCTGTTTCCACTCTCTCTCTCTCTCTGTGTCCTTTCCACTCTCTCTCTCTCTCTCTGTCCTTTCCACTCTCTCTGTCCTTTCCACTCTCTCTCTTTCTCTCTGTCCTTTCCACTCTCTCTCTCTCTTTCTCTCTGTCCTTTCCACTCTCTCTCTCTGTCCTTTCCACTCTCTCTCTCTGTCCTTTCCACTCTCTGACTCTTTCTTTCTCTCTGTTTTCCTTTCCTCTCTCTTTGACTCTTTTCTCTCCTTCCTCTTTTTCCACTCTCTCCTTTCCCTCTCCTCTCTCTCTCCTCCTTTTCCCTCTCTCTCCTTTTCTTTTTTTTCTTCTTTTTCTCACAAAGGCTTAGATTTAGTTTTTGTTACTTTGCCACATACATTCTTATGTTTTCAAAAGATTTGTTATAAATCAATAATAATAGAGCAGCATTGGAAAAGATGACTGCTTTTTGTCACACACACCCCTTCCACACCCAATGATGATCATTGAAATATGAAGTCAGATTTTCTCAACCTCATTCACAAACACTTTTTCTTTTCAAAAGGAAGACTGGAATGTTGATTCTCTGTGTAATCTACCCCCACTCTATTTCCATCACTGACATGATGGCTTCAAAATGGTTTCTTCACATCATTACAGGGTTGCAAAACTGAATTTAATTCCACTTTGATGAAACCAATGAATAAGATTCTCAGTATGTGAGAATGAAGCAGGAGAGGAAGAGTGAAAAAAAAATTATTAATTAAATGCAAAAACAATGGGACTATTGGTTGAATAAAGTCATGTTTTGACAAAACTGATCAGTCACTGATTTTATTCTGATGAGCACAAAAAAAATACACTATTTTTGAAAACCCCTACCGGGCCGCATGGAGTAGACTCACAGGATAACATTGTGTACAGACCTGCTCTATATCATTTCTTTAAACAGAAATAAAGTTCTATGAATGGACAATGAATACAAAATCATTTTTCTTTAACTCGTCATTTATAACTGAAATTTAGTATTAATCCTAAAAGAAAAAGTTAACTTTCACTAATTGCACACAATAAACACAAACTAAACATTCTTTTAAATATTTGTTTCAAACCAGGGAGGCTTTCTAGTTACTGTAACTCATTGTAGCCAAAAATTTTTTTGTTTACAAGATGTTTTTTTTTTAGAGAGGAATTTTATATCATTAGATAAGCAAAGTCAGTTATATAATAATCTTCATTCATTGCCAACAAAGTAGAAGAGAAGATTAAATAAATTTATTATAATGGGTACAGCAATTTCTCTTTGTAAAAATCTTTCTAAAAATTATCTACATCTACATTATAGACAAGTTGTAAAACTTAATAATTATATAGTTGGAATGTCTTGTTCAAGAACTTCATTTGGCACAATGATCGATATGAATTTAATTGAAAAAATGAAGTGTGAATTTTCCTTCTCAACTTTGAGAAAACTATTATAATTTTCGGAATTTCAGAAATATTTAAAAAGATTTCTTCATATTTTAAGGGGCAATTGCTTTTTGAATGAATGCTTTTTGTTTATTATGGGCCACTTAGCTGATACCATATTAAAATACTTTTCTAATTCTCTCTTGATGAATCAAAACTATAGCTCATGATTTTATTGCCAATAACTTATTACATCTTAGAACCAAAGAAAATTAATGTTATAGATATTGTCCAATTGATATAGAGAATTTTAATGAATTTTCAAATGTCAAGAATTTAGCATCAATTTCAACAGCTGCACTAAAAAAGTGAAAATATGCTTCAAGGGTGGAACCAAATAAAAATAATGTGCTTATTAATCAGTTTATGCAGTACATTTTTTTTAAATAATTGCAAATGCAGAGAAATTATTAGAATTAATGAAAGATTTTCTTTCATATGGAAAATACCTCTCGGAAAGATTGAGTAATTTTATATACATGTTGCAGACAAAAATGTAATAATCCAAATATGTAAAATGCAATATTTCTTTTTCGACAGCTCTCATTCAGATAATTATCTTATTGAATTAGATATTTCAAATACATAATGACTACAAAGCAGCACTTTTTGGTGTTGATTAGAAAATTACATTAGTTATTTAAGAAAGTGTGCATGTCAGCAAAATTTCTTTGTACCATCTTTTTTGAAAACAAGTGAATAAATGCAAAAATGGTTTTTAACTTTTCAATATTCCATTATCTTGTATTATGCAAAAATCAAAAGATTGTAGATAAGATACATAGAAAATACTGCATATGTTGTTTTTCAAGTTGGGCAAGAAAGCAACAGTAGTGAAGCTGATTGGTAAGGCCTATGGAGATGATTCAGTTGGAATCAGTTTGTATTTTGAATGGTTTTTGAAATTCAAGCAGGGGAAATTTGATTTGAAGAGCAACCCATGCAGCAGAAGAACATAAGAACTTAAATGTGTAGGGGTGGGGGATAATATGCACACACTCTTAGTGGTTAGAAAGTTTGGTCTCAATCACTCAAAAGTTGTCAGGTTTTTGCAGAGTTTGGAGAAGATTCAAGAAGTGGAGAAAATAAAGAGGATTGCACATCATTTAAAAAACTTTTTTTTTTTTTTTTTTTTTTTTTTTGTGGAAGATTGTCACTGGTGGTGAAAAGTGTGTTTGTTACAATTTTAAGCATCAAAACTTATGGGTGGATCCAGGACAGCTTTCAGCATAAACAATAAATCCTGCTCCTTTTTGAAAAAAAAGTTATTACTCCATATTTAGTTTGGTATGAAAGGCATACTATATGTTGAATTGCTGAATCCCATTGAAACAGTTTATGTAGAGACTTATAGCTGCAACCATTGATGTTTGAGCATTGCAATTCAAGAAAGATTTGGTTTACAGCACAGGGAATCCAGACTTGGCATCATCAAATAGACATTTATCTTAATCAATGTGACATTCTTTCTCAGGTTAAAAATTTAAAGATGGTTCTGAAACCCAAAATTCCATGAATAAGTTTGTTGTGCCAAAAGCCATGTTTGTTTTATAAAAACCATGGAATCAAGATGTCAAGAACTAATATATATATATATATATATATATATATATATATATATATATATATATATATATATAATATGAAAAAAAATATATAGAAAATAGGAAGGAACTGGTTAGGTAAATAATCCAAAGTCCCTTAGTATTTTAGTTATTATTTTTAAAAAATAGTGCTCGATACAAAAGTAGAGCATAAATATAATTATTTATTTAAAAATATGATTCCAAAACGCTACATAAGAAGAAAAAATTTCGCTTGAAGATGGAACAGAGCTTATTTTAACTCAATTTAATTTAAATAATTATATTGAAGTTTTCGGCTCTTGTTTTGAAACATGAGACTTCTTATGTAGCGTTTTGGAATCATATTTTTAAATAAATAATTATATATATATATATATATATATATATATAATAAAAGGCGCAAACACTAATATTCCATGGTATAATTTATCACATTGGGATTGTAATCATAATCCAATTCATCAGACCTACAAATTCAAGAATTTCAGTGTGTGATAATAATAACAAATCATACGGAGCAATATAATTAGGAAAAATTTTTAAGAAAAACCTTACATTTGAATTTTCCAGTGATAAACTTAAATTTATTTCGCAGTTGTTTTACACTGCATCTTCAGACTGGTTTAAATGTACCAAATACAGGAAATAAATTGATTTAAAAGAAAGACACACAAGAAGGAAAGGAAATTCTGTGGTAGCGGGAGGCAATAAATGACAGGAACGGGTAAAAATAAAGACATAAGGGAGAGGACAGATATCTTGTTGGATGAAGGAGCGTGGGTGAGTTTTTAACAAAACTGTTCCAAACATCTCTTCTGTCAAATGCCATAAGAATAAGTGATCTTTTTAAAAAAAAACAAATGTATTAAGTGTGGCACAAGGTCATAAGAATGTTACTTGAAAAAACATATATATTGAAACATGTTTTATTGAATAATATACATATGTCTATTTATTTTTATAATAATCATTTCTAGTTCTCTAATTATCTCCTTGATGTTAAGTTGAAATTCACCAAGGAAGATGCTGTAGTTCCTGTTAAACCAAGTGCTTTCAATCTCCTCCATGATCATCCTCAGTGGTGAATTGTGAAGACAAACTTAATATAACTGTGATTGTTGGGATGGTAATTTTTGTGAACATGCATGAAAGCACTCTGTAATAATTATTTTAAAATTAACCATTGTAGCTATTATATATATATATATATATATATATATATATATATATATATTTAATTAATTAATTAATTAAAAAAATATTGGAAACTTTTGTACCCTTGTAATAAGCTATTGGACTGTAACTGTAATAAAAGCTCTCATGAATTTTTATCAAAATTGGAATACAATCAAGCAAAAATGAATTACTGATTTTAGCAATGTTCTATTCATACTTATATATTTTTTTACCCACTTGTTTCAGTTGACTGCTAATGTAGGCAAGGTTCAAATTCATAAAACAAAGATTAATTATTTGGAATTCCAACCCAAAGAATCAGATATAGATTATAAAGGTAAGACAGTTTTTTTGTTTGTTTGTTTTTCCTTAAAATTCATAATCACTTTAAAAGAAATAATCTTGACTTTTGAGTAGAACGCTAAACACATTCAAATTTTAGAATAAAGAGAACTAAATTTAATGTTTGGTTGAAACGCTTCATTTAATTACAACATTTTATTGTTTTTCATCTGATGACAAGAGAAGACAACTAGGATGGTTTTAATCTGGGTATCTGTCCTCCATGTTCAGTATTAACTGATGAGGTTCTGACAAACCACAGACCTTTTCATTTTTAGTCCACTCTCCGTTGTATTTCTAGTCTGTTGTTTCATTTAGTTTTTTGTTTTGTTTTACCTTGACGCTTTCATTTCAATCACAGAATCTCATCTGAATTCAGTTAACAGAGACAACTGCAAATTTAACTCAACCAGACTATGTTAGCTCAACATCAGTCATGACGTTCATTGACAGAATGACATGTGATAACAAGTGTGGATTATTGCCCTTTTCACTTAGAGATGAGAGAAAGAAACGTATTACTCACATTTATCTTTAAAAAAATTATACAAAGAAAAAATTATAGAGAAGCAGTATTCTACTTGAATTTATTTTTGCTTTCATATATTCATTGCATTTTAAAAAGTGCTACAAGGCCAAAAGATGGTTAAAATGAAAGAATGAGATTTAACGTCTTTTTTTTTTGTTTTTCCTTTCTATACACACTTAACATTGTTAAACAGTTAAAATCTTTAAAAATGGCTCTAAGCAAATGAAGCCTGCAAGTCTTAGAGCCAGGACCATCTTTTTTAAAACCTTATGGACAAGTGCTACAGAATAACAAAGAAATGTACAAATAACAAAAACCACATCACTTAAGGACTTTCAGCAGCAGAAGCAACTAAAATGGATAACATATGTAACTTGAGAAAATAATGACATAATCAAGACATTAACATTTCACACTAATTCAACCAAAAGTGGCAAAAGACTCAAACAATACTGGAAAGAGAGGTAAAAATTATTTTAAGACATTTTTAAAAAATTCCAACTGAAAGTAGCACTGGCTGCTCAGTCAATCAATGCTGAATATTTCCACATAAGGAAACAGTTATCATTACAATAAAAAGATTCATCTGTCAATATCATAATTGCCTTTTTCTTTAATCAATTCACCTCAAACAAGGCAATAATGCCACTAAAGAGAATGAAAAAGACTTTAGAAGGAATCCGAAATCCATTCCTAAACAGGAAACAAGGAATAAACCTCTACTCCTGTTCAAAAGACCAAGAAGTGTGAACTGGACACTAGGCAAACCTATCTACTCCTACTGAAGAAAAAATAAATAAATAGTAAATAAAATTTATTGCTACTAGTACCATGTAACCCAGTACTACCTACAGTATGGTCAAGTGATCGGCAACTAAATCAGTTACTCTACCAGGCTTTTCTGGTGAGGAGGGTGGCTTGACACCCAGCAAGTTTAAAAGCAAGACTGGTCAAAAGACAGATGAACCTTCTTGTAAAAGTAATGTCTATTTAGCACAATAGGGTAGAGTGGGTTCCATAAATACTTATACAGCTAGTGTGGTGATGACACAGCATTTGTGGGCAGAGAGCTTCCCTGACTGAAGTCAATGACCAAGAAAAGAGTTCCCCTTGATGGAATCAGTACCCACATATCTCCATCCAAGGTGAGCCTTCAAGTTGGAGGATATTGACTGTGGTCTGAACTGGAAAGGAACAGGATCCGCCAAGTCTAATTACCCAAGACATGCTATGCATGAATGAATACCTTTCTGGCTTTCAGTCTATATAATGCAGATGGAATTGGTCAGGTGCTCAGTTGCCCAGTGACCACCTGGTCATAGGACTGATGATTATATTCTTTAAATTTGTCACTCTACTGTCTTTTGTTTGGAACAAACAATATAGCCTCTAGAAGAATTTTTTTTTAATTAGGAGTGAAATGGTAATGAGAGGAGGGGGAAGTAAAATTTTATATATTGTATCACATTTAATCTTTTTATCAGAAAAAAGTTCCTTTTGAAAGATCATTGATGAATCTGAGAGCCAAGTTTGAATTCCAGTCGAGTTCGTTACATTTACTTATGTGCTAATAGCCTTGAAAAAGGTATGAACCCATCTCTTCAAGCAATGGGTAAATAATACAGACTGGGTCCTATAGCCTTGGATCGCAACCAGTCTAGGAGAAGAAAATATTACTGGATTCAAAACCAGTCTGGAGAGGGTTGGGCTCCATCAGGCTCTCTTGTCCAGGAAACACTACTACAGCTACAGGACATGTGGCAACCCTATGATCCTAATGAGTTACAGGTGTTGTGATCATCAACCTGCAGCACTGAAAGAAATACAAAATCATGATTCAGCTGTAAATCCAAATTCAAATCTGGCAGCCTCTTAAAAAAAGACATCAAGGAATTGATCATCATCTCTTTCAAACTTCAAATTCATCAACACAGCTCCTATGTCTTCTCTTCCTCTTAGTTTTCATTCATAGAATACAATAACAATCCTGAATCGCCCCTCTCTTTACAGCACCAGTCTAGTCATGCCTGAGCTATTTGCCAATGAATATCTTCAGCCAACTTATCCATATCTTAGCCAAAATTTTTGTGTTTGTTAATGGATCAAAAGATTCCTTTTCAACAAATTAACAACACACCTGGTCATCTTCCCTAATCAATTGTTAAAAGAGAGAGGATAAGAAAAACATTCAACAGCCTTAAGTACAATTCTAAAGGCAAGTTAGTCAAAAGCAAACAACTTGTAAGTGCCAATTTGCTTCAACAAATTTCATCTTGCCACTTTATACAACTCCAATCCGTGAATGTTTGTCAAATAGCTATGAAACTCTTGCTTGCAAAAACTGCTTCTACAGTAAATAACTCCCAATAATGCTTCTGAAAGCCAGGACAGATACACAGCTGGTATAGTTACTTCAGGAATAACATTCCATAGACTTTGATATAGTTTTTCATTGTTGAATATTCCTCGAATTTCAATTTCAAAAAGCTTTCTCTCTCACCTATACCTAGCTACATGCATTTGGTATCAATCTTTGCCATGAAGGAATTCTCTCCAAAATAGCGAAGCCAGCCTATTGTCAAGTCTATCAAAACTATCTGAAATTAGTCTTTAGGCATGATGGAGGGAAAACAAACTAATTCTATGTTTGAGGTGGATACACAACTTATTCCTAATCATTCCAGCTGCATTAATTCTATCAGCTGCTTTGGGAAATTGCACTTGTTCATGTCTAATTTCCAATAGGCATCCTAACCATAGTTGAATCACTTGTCTTGAATGTTTAACCAATTGAACATTAAAAAATTCAGTTGGCCTCTTCTTTCTAATGACCTACCCAGAGAGCCAACTATTTATCCATATCTTTTGATTTGAGTGGTTGGCTTAGAATCATATCAAAAAATATGAACTCTTTAACACTGATCAAGTTTCTATCACTGAAAAACTGTCATTCAGTTTGAGGACAACAATAGCAACATTCCAATTTTCCAATTCACTATTAACAATATGAGAAATAAAACAATTTTTATTATCTTCAACAGAATAAATCTCTGTTCCAAGTTCTAACTTTTTTTTTCTGTAATCCATTGTCTGTTGACCATTAACTGTATCTTCAGAGATTTCAGATATAAATAAATATTAAGAGACCTCATTAACATTACATAGATATTATCCAACAGTCTACATTGTAACTATCAGCAATTTAGAATGAAGAAGCTTCCCAAAGTGGGAGTTTTTTTCTTTCTACTACTTATTAATAATTTTGGCTGTTTCTTTTTGCAGAATATGACCATGTGTTAGAAGTGTATGACTTCCCTGCTGAGTTACAAACTAGAGATTTAATTGGAGCCTTTTCACAATTCAAGTAGGTTTTAAGCTTTTTTATTTATTTTTCTACTGTCTCTTGTATATCATATTCTGAATATTTTTAAGTACATGCCTCACCAACTGAATCCCAAGTTTCATCTCCTTCCTCTCCATGAGTTGTAACTTGTTTTATTTATCTGGACCAGTTAGTTTTGGTGACCATACCTTCAAATTTACCTTTGTTCTTTTGTCTGAGATATAAAAAATAATTTGCAATAGTTTTATGGAAATAAATAATGTAATTTAAGATATTTTGGAACTATGTGGTCACCAACAAATGTTTACTTTATTTATAAAATAAATAAAATTATATATGACTATTTGTATAAACCGAAACAATTCAACTTGTTTGTCAGAGAAACAAATTGTGTTATTAAAAAATCTGCTAGACTCAGTTTAACACCAGAAGTAATATCTCTATACATTTTTATTACTTAAAATATTATTATAGTGGATACTTCATATTTGAAATAGGTGCCAAATTTTCATTTATTAAATGTGTGTACTGGCCTGTACATTTGAGAAATCTTAGTAAAGAAAAATATTTTTCTAAGCATTTTTTTTTTTACTAAGTTTTCTGTTATAACATTTGAAGTAATAAAAATATTGATTTAAAGTCCATTATATATGCAAATGGAGGCATAATAGAGTAATGGATTGTGGCTTCATTTGAGCAATTGGAGAGCCGAGTTTGAAATCCAGCCATGTTTGTGCTAATGCTCTTGAGAAAGGTATGAATCCAACTCTTCTCCTCCAGCTATGGGTAAATAGTAGGACAGACTAGGTTCTATAGCCTTCGGTGGCAACCAGTCTAGGAGAAGGAAAACTCTGAATTCAAAACTGTATGTAGCCATGGTGAAGCACATACTATACAGATAAGGAAAGGATCATTTGCATTGACTTGATGGTTGACTCTCTCTCTCTCTATATATATATATATATATATATATATATATATATGCAAAATTTGATGTTTTCTGTACCATACAAAGCAAGTATATGTTAGCTCATTAAGTAAAATGGGAATAGGAAAATATGAAAAGGAGAAATTAAAATTTTGGAAACTCTTCATCCTGAATTTTTTGCTAAATTTTTAACAGCACTTTGCTTATTGAAAATCAATAACAATACAGATAACTAAACTGACTTGACATGATTGTCTAATGTTACTGCTTGAATCTCTAATGTATTATCTTTTATTTAGGGAAAGAGGATTTGACATTAAATGGGTGGATGATACTCATGCCCTGGCCATCTTCAACAGTCCCTTGGCTGGTAAGTTTTCTTTTGGCCAGATCTTCAAATACATCTTGGGATATTTTTATGGAATATAAATTCTTAAACTAATTCTTAGATTATTAACCTGTGAGTTTCCAGATGTTTTTATTCTGTTTTTACTAAGACAAATTTCTTTATAATTATCATTATTATTATTCCTAGAATATATAACCAAAATTGCACATTCAGTCCTATGTACAAAATAATAATGAATGAAGTGAATAATATGTTAAAAAATGTCAAAAATGCCTATAATTTTTGAACTAGGAGTTAAAATCAGATAAAATTCTTCATCTTGTTGCATGGAATTTGTATTTATAAAAGTGTAAATTTTAAATAAACTGGTCCCCCCCACCAGGCTTTTCTGGTGATACCCAGCAGGATTAAAACCAAGACCTGTCAATAGGCAGATGAACCTTCTTTGTAGAGTCAGTGGCCATCCAGCACAGTGATGTAAACAGCTCTGTAAGTATATATGCAGCCAGTATGATGATGACATAGTATCACTAGGTGGAGGCTTTCCTTGACTAGAGTCAACAGCCAAGGCAGAAGTTTCCTCCAATGGAATTAACAGGTACCAGTCTATGACCAAGATGAGCCTTCAAGTTGGAGTACATCATCTGTGGTTTGTTTTGAAAGAGGGATGAGCTTCATCTGGTCTATTTGCCCAAGACATGCCACACCTGAATGAATACTTCTCTAGATTTCAACCTGGATATGTAAAAAGAACAGATCAGATGCACAGCTGTATAATGAGTTTATGACCACACCTAATCATGGGACTAAATGATCTTTTCATATTAGTAATCAAGCCTTTGATAGAAATTTCTTTCTTTTTATATACAAAACAAATCTTTTCTATTAAATAATCTAGAGATGTTGATTTAACTTAAACATTTACTTCTGTTATGCCATAATGTTTTGATTATTGTGATGTTTTTTTTTCTTTGTAATTTCAGCTGAGGATGCTTTATCAAACAACAATCCACTGCTGAAGGTGAGGCGCATGACAGATGCTTCCAAAAAATCTAAGCAGAAGGCAAAACGTTGTACTGGTGAGTAAATCTATAAAAAAAAAAAAAAGAAAGTAAAAGCTAGTTTGATTTGTCCTATAGATTTTATCCTAAATGTTATAAAAACTTTGTTTTTCATTACATGATCTAACACCTGTCTATATTTCTGTGATGAGATGTTGTAATTATTTTACATGGTTTGGACTGTTGTCCTCATCTTTGTTACCATATTCGTGGCATTTCAGTTGTTGTACGCTCCAGTCATCTTCAGGTGATTGGAATTTTGAACTGAACCCAAAGAGTTGTGAGTTCAATACCAGCCTACAGCTGAGGTGAACGAAAACTTGGAGTGTTGAGTTAAAGGGAGATAACTGATACTGAAACATCCTAAACAGACATGGCACATGGAACTAGAACAATCTGCCCCGGTGGATGAAATAAACTGTTCAGTTTGAAATTTCAGTCAACTAAATAAGGTTAGAACATACAGTAGCCAAAATGTTGTGAATATGGCTATGAAGATGAGGACAACAGTCCAAACAATGCAAATAATAAAGTGTCAGTAAATACAAAAAAAAATGTCCAACCTCTAAAAACCTGAAAACAGTTGATATTAACATAGTATTTGTCCTAGTTAATTTTTTGTTTACTGTATTTCCATGTCAGCTAATGATTTTGTCTACTAAAAAGTGTTTCATGTCAAACATCTTATGTGAAAATACTTGCTTGATTATTATTCATTTTGTTGAAGTTCTATGCAAGTCTTTGTATTAATCAAAAAAGCATAAAACTGAGCAGGACAGTGTGTATTTGGACTGAGTGTGAACAGGGTGAGCAATAATCGAGCAGTACTAAATAAAAACACTAATAAAACAATAACTCCTTATCCCACATATTCAGACAAAAATCAAAGAAGACAATAAGACAATATTTTAATTTAGTGCTTAGTTTGTTTGCACCACCCACACACACACACACACTTTTTTCTTTTGTGACACCCACCGGTGGTCACGGTCACAGCGCCAGCGCCAATATGGGACATCCACTGGTCGGGACGTCAATATTGACGTATCTCATACCAATCCTCTTAGTGTGTGTCAACAAGCTTCCCTGCCTTTCTCATACATTCACCTTCACCTATCACTCACGCCACCACTTGGCCAATGATCGCTCGGCAGCGTGGGTGTGGCTAGACCTGGCCTTCCTAAAATTATTGTCAAAAAAAAAAAAAAATCTCTTTTCTTTCCTTCTTTTCTACTGGCCAGAATTCTTATGAATTCCATGTAGCCATAATTAAATTTTTATTTTATCCTGAGCCACCCAAAATCCACTTAGCAGAATCTCTACCGACTCATTAATCACAACTTTTTAACTGGGTGGTCATGTTCCACCTGAAAATCAAATTCTTTATTTTTCTCATGTCTTAAAATTTTCATATCACCAGATGCCCACCTTTGGCAACATTAAGTCTGTCATCAACAGTTTGAATAAGCAATAACAATGATCATATCAAGAGCTGTATGCATAACAACTGGCTTTCTTCGTTGGAATCTAAGAATGAAAAATATTAATGATATCTCTGATAGATAACCAATATTGATTTCTTCTGCCTGTATGCAGTTGACCAAAGCCAAAATTTTTTTATGGCCGCTGTGTATGGTCAGCTTTGTCATTCCTCCCCAAATTCTGTTTCCCTTGACGCGTCACTATCTGATCATGACATTAATTAATTCTGACAGAATCTGAAATCTGGCTTTCTCTTACAGATTTTCTGTCTTCTGCGAAAAAAGTATCTTTCTTCATAAATGAAATAAAATGTTTTCTCTCTTTTTTATTTTTTTTTTTTTTTTTGTTAAAAAAATGTCGCTTGGTCTGTCTTTCGATATAGCTCTTTCTCGCCTTAAGTATTTCTCGTTTTTAATTTCTATGCTTAATTAGTTAGCCAATTACCATAGCTAAATAGTGTCACACTTTTCTATAAAAAAAGGCCTTTGATTTATAATTCTAACAATTGGTAATGCATGATTCTCATATTTCAGGTAAAGTTTTGAAATTAACAAAAAAAATATATAAATATATAAAATTCTTTGGTTTCCCTTTATACATGCAATTCAATGTCGGTGTTCTGTGCTAAAAAATTGCTTTTATATTTTTAACATGATGTAAATATATAAATGAAGCTATGTCCTCCTTTGTGTTACAAGGCATTCATATTGGGCTAATAATTGACAAGATGATTTTTTGTAGCCTCTGATCAATAGAAAACTAAAATGAAAACTAGCAGGAAAAAGAAATTCTATTTATTTGGGCTGAAAAGAACATAGGTGCAGAGGGAATACAATGAGTGATGGCCACATCTCTCCTCATCTAAGCTTGTAATTCTACCTGCCACTTTAATGTTTATCTCAGTATTGTTTTATATTTTTTAATTCCCAAGTGGTCACCCATCTAAATACTGACCAAGCTCAACCTTGCTTCACTTCAATGATTATACGAGAACCAGTGTTTCAGCATGATATGGCAGTAAGCCTGTAAGCCAAAGAGTCCTTGTCATTGGCTTTTAAGTATATCAGAATATAGAATCAAAAAGAGACAGTTAAAATTTGTAGGGCACATAATGAAGAAAGAGGGCTTGGAAAATCTAATACTCACAGGACAGATTGAAGGCAAGAGAGACAGAGGAAAACAATTCCTAAGTTATTGAGCTTGAGCAAATGGATGGCAGAACAGGGTTTAGGTGAAATAACAAAAAGATAAAATTTATTAATAACTACAAAGTATAGGAGGTTGTGGAGAACCATGATTGCTTATGTTCTGAGGAGATACAGTATATAAAGGTCTTTTTTAAGCAACTCAAAGAATATAAAAGAAATTTTTCTTTGTATCATTTTTCATTTTTGTCTTCTTGTTCCAGTGAGGGTATAAAATGGGGTTACACCTGTTGGTTTCACAATGTGCATTTTCATCCCCCAGACATTTTTCCCAACTTTACCTGTACCTTACCTTTTAAAAGTTACCTGCTGAAGACTGAACATTTTTGATCTGGATAACTCATTGTGGTCATTTAACATTTGTCTATTAAAATCAGAGTTGGTTTATTTTGTAGTTTTTTTTCCTCCCTATTAGAAGGCATGGTCATCATTCTTTTGAAAATGTATTGCATGTGTGACCAACCTTCAGCTCAATACTTTATTTGCTTTTGTATGACAAAGTTGTGTGTTGATATCTGTATAATTGGGAGCTTTGACATTCATAAAGCATTTTGCAGAATTCTAACACTGAGCAAGAGCCTTGCATTTGATTATTCAACAACATAATGTCTGTTTCTCAGTGTGGTATGAATGGATATGACTTCTACAAAATATTTTAAATTTGGCCTTCAGCAGTAAATGAACACTCAACTCTATAAAATGTTTCCACAAGAGTCACACTTACCTGTTTCGAGAAGTAATAGAATTTTGTTTTGTATCTACAGAGTTCCTCCAGCCTTACAAACCACGTCCAGAGACTTCAGCCATCACTGCCAGGCGTATGGTGACTGGAGCTCTTGGCCTAACCCCACGTATTTCCAAACAGAAGAGAGATCAGGAAAGACAACAGTTGAAGGAGGCACGTGGTAAGTTTATATATTTCTTTAGACATTTTAGTGGTTACTTTACTATATGAGTCTAAGTTCAACCAACTGATCAAACAGATGATTAGTTGTTTAGTGAATTATTTAGTAATTTAATCTCTCAATAAGTAACTGAGAATGTGTTGTATTGTAATTAATAACAAAAGGAAAATATTGTTCAGTATATAATCAGTAGAAAATTGGTGCTGATATAAGTGTTAGAATATCAAATTCCTTTTGTTTGTAATTTCTAAAAACAAAAGCTCTGTTAATCAAATTGTTTTAAAATGATTGTTTACCCCACAAAATTTTGTATAGATTCTTCTGATATTGCAAAGTATTTGTTTAGAAAAGTGTACTGATGAACACTACTTAAATATTTCTTTTGTCCTTTCCCTGAATCAGAAGATAGTCAGGATAATGGTGAGATTA